AAAAAAAAAAAAAAAAAAAAATTCACCTGCACTTTGGGAGCCGACCTGGGAGGATTTCTTAAGCCCAGGAGTTTGTCATCAGCCTGGGCATCATGGTGAGAACCCTGTCTCTACATAAAATTAAATTTAAAATAAAATAAGGCCAAGCACAGCGGCTCACACCTGTAATCTCAGCACTTTGGGAGGCCGAGGCAGATCACTTGAGGTCAGACATTTAAGATCAACCTTGCCAACATGGTGAAACCCTGTCTCTACTAAAAATACAAAAATCAGCCAGGCGTGGTGGTGCACGCCTGTAATCCCAGCTACTTGGGCAGCTAAGGCACAAGAATCGCTTGAACCTGGGAGGTGGAAGTTGCAGTGGGCCAAGAGTGAACTTCTGCACTCCAGCCTGGGCAACAGAGAGACTCTGTCTCAAAAAATAAAATAAAATGGAGACTCAAGAGGAGGGGCCCAGTGGAGAAGGAGGTGTCGGCCAGCAGCAGCTGCTGCCTCTCAGAGGATAGAGAAACCACCAAGAAACCAGCACCACTCCTGGAATCAGCTATGCCAGCACGCGCCAGTGTTCTGTGGTCTGGCTGACAACAGGAAACACACTGTCCCTTCTTTTATTCTCTTGCCTTGCAGTCTCCCTCAGCGTGTCCTACCAGGGTGAGGTAGGAGGGGGGAAATGCGGCTTGGGGCAGAGTTCAGAGGGTGGGATTGGGGCTGAGAGATGATGAAGGGCTAGCTGGCTCAGCCCGCCTTTGATTCCCCTCGTGTGTACACACTTCTGCACACACACGAGCTTGCATAGGATGGTGAAAAATGCCAGGTGCCGTGGCTCACACCTGAAATCTCGGCACTTTGGGAGGCCAAGGCGGGCAGATCACCTCAGGTCAGGAGTTTGAGACCAGCCTGGCCAACACGGTGAAACCCTGTCTCTACTAAAAATACAAAAAATGGCCGGGCGCGGTGGCTCAAGCCTGTAATCCCAGCACTTTGGGAGGCCGAGGCGGGTGGATCACGAGGTCAAGAGATCGAGACCATCCTGGTCAACGTAGTGAAACCCGTCTCTACTACAAATACAAAAATTCAGCTGGGCATGGTGGCGTGTGCCTGTAATCCCAGCTACTTAGGAGGCTGAGGCAGGAGAATCACTTTGAACCCAGGAGGCAGAAGTTGCAACGAGCCAAGATCGCGCCATTGCACTCCAGCCTGGGCAATAAGAGCAAAACTCTGTCTTGGAAAAAAAAAAGGATGGTGAAAAACAAATTCATGCCTCCACGGATACAACAAGATACAACTACTCTTGTATAAGCAAAACAAATCCCCCTCTCCCTCCAAAATAGACACGAAGTGCCAAATCATGGTGTCCCTGTCTCAGAGACAGTATTTCTAGGCTATGTTAATTACTCCTAATTGCCAGGCACAGTGGCTCAATCCCAGTACTTTGGGAGGCTGAGGTGGGAGGACTGCTTGGGGCCAGGAGTTCAAGACCAGGCTGGGCTACATAGTGAGGCCCATCTATATACAATTTTTTTTGTTTGTTTTTTTTTTGGGACGGAGTTTCACTTTTGTTACGCAGGCTGGAGTGCAATGGCGCGATCTCGGCTCACCGCAACCTCCACCTCCTGGGTTCAGGCAATTCTCCTGCCTCAACCTCCTCAATAGCTGGGATTACAGGCACGCGCCACCATGCCCAGCTAATTTTTGTAGTTTTAGTAGAGACGGGGTTTCACCATGTTGACCAGGATGGTCTCGATCTCTTGACCTCGTGATCCACCCGCCTCAGCCTCCCACAGTGCTGGGATTACAGGCTTGAGCCACGGCACCCGGCTACAATTTTTTTTTTAATTAGCCAGGCTAGCCAGGCGTAATGACACATGCCTGCAGTTCCAGCTACTCAGGAAGCTGAGGTGGGAGGATCACTTGAGCCCAGGATTTCAAAGCTGCAGTGAGCTATGCTCTCTAACCTGAGACACAGAGTAAGACCCTGTTTTTGTGTGTGTGTGTTTTGCTTTTGTTTTTGTTTGACAGAGTTTTGCTCTTGCCCAGGCTGGAATGCAATGGCACGATCTCGGATGCCTGCAACCTCCACCTCCCTAGTTCAAGCGATTGTCCTGCCTCAGCCTCCTGAGTAGCTGGAATTACAGGTATGTGCCACCATGCCCAGCTAATTTTTTTTTTTTCACATGAAGGCAATTTATTAACAAAATATTTTGAGAAGTCTTGTTCACAGATGACTACCATGGCGATCCCCCTGCCTGTGGGTGCTGTCAGAGGGGATGGGGGTGATGTCCTCAATCCGCCTGATATTACACCCGAACAGGCAAGGGCTCTAAGAGTCAGCTGGGCCCCAGGTCCAGGGGTCTTGGTCCTATTTCCTCCTGTGGCCCAGAGTTTGATGTGTAGGGCAGTGATACCCAGCTCCTCGCACCTCTGGGCCACATCCTGGGCAGCCAACATAGCAGCATATGGTGAGGATTCATCCCGGTCTGCCTTCACCTTCATCCCACCAGTCACACGGCAGATGATTTCTTTGCCAGAAAGATCAGTGTCATTGAAGGATGCAAAGATATGGCAGACACCAAACATGTTCTCTCCTTCAGCCACCTGAGGTCCAAGGCTGACAACCTGTTCTTCCTTCTTTTCCTTCCCCTTTTGAGGTGCCATTTCTGCACGCCATCTCCACACTCCACACCAAAAAGCTAAGTTTTGTATTTTTAGTAGAGACGGGGTTTCACCACGTTTGCCAGGATGGTCTTGATCTCCTGACCTCGTGATCTGCCCGCCTCAGCCTCCCAAAGTGCTGGGATTACAGGCGTGAGCCACTACGCCCAGCCAGACCTTGTCAAGAGGCTGAAGCAGGAGAAGCACTTGAACTCCGGGAGGCGGAGGTTACAGTGAGCCAAGATTGCACCACTGCACTCCAACCTCCAGCCTGGGTGACAGAGAGAGACTCCTTCTCAAAAGAAAAGATAAAAAGGGAAGGCCAGGCGTGGTTGCTCACGCCTGTAACCCCAACACTTTGGGAGGCCGAGGAGGGTGGATAACAAGATCAGGAGTTCAAGACCAGCCTGGTCAACATGATGAAACCCCATCTCAAAAAAAAAAAAAAAAAAAACATAGACTCCGCAGGACATAGAGAGGGAGCTTAGGGAACTGGATGAACCTGGAGGGATGGTCAGGTTTGGTCTGGGAAAACAAGAGTGGGGAGCTGGTTTGGAGTGAGAGTGAGTTCAATTCTAGGCAGGTTGAGTCAGAGGGACCTGGGTGAAGGTCTTAGGAAGACAAGCTGGGGCATAAGGCTGACCCTCAGAAGGGTGATCCCATCATGATCAACCTACAGACTCGGTACTAGGCTCTTTCAGCATTTCTACTAAAGTTCTCACTTAACCCCCCAGCAACCTGAGTGATAGAGTAAAGCAATAAGCTGGGCGCGGTGGCTCACACCTATGATCCCAGCACTTTGGGAGGCCGAGGCGGGCGGATCATGAGGTCAGGAGTTCAAGACCAGCCTGGACAACATGGTGAAACCCTGTCTCTACTAAAAATACAAAAATTAGCCAGGTGTGATGGCACACACCTGTAACCCCAGCAACTCAGGAGGCTGAGGCAGGAGAATCGCTTAAGCCTGGGAGACAGAGGCTGCAGTGAGCCTAGATCAAGCCACTGCACTCCAGCCTGGATAAGAGTGAGACTCTGTCTCAAAAAAAAGAAAGAAAGATAAAAGCAGGAGACATCAGGTCCGAGTCCCCAGCAGCACTGTTCTGAGTGTGTTCATTCACTTAATCATCACAAGCACCTTAGGAAGTTTTGGGGTTTTTTTTAATCCCCATGGTCTTCAAAGCACTTAGGAAGTATTTTTACCCCATTTTTCTGAGGAAGAGTTCTGGGCAGAAATGTGAGGTAATTTGCCCCAGGTCACACAGCTCTTGGGTGGGTTGGGGAAACTGAGGCTCAAAGGCAAAGGGGACTGGCCTTGAGGCAGATTCAGTGGTTAGGCTCCACAGCCCATGCACTTCAACAACACCAGTGTTCTTAAACTAAGAGGGTGAAACTCAACTTAGTGAGGCGTGACTCACATTACATGATGAAAACCTCCATGCATATACAAAAAGTTGGCGGGGCATGGTGGCTCACGCCTGTAATCCCAGTACTTTGGGAGGCAGGCAGATCATGAGGGCAGGAGTTCAAGACCAGCCTGACCAATATGGTGAAACCCTGTCTTTACTAAAAATACAAAAATTAGCTGGGCATGGCAGCGTGTGCCTGTAATCCCAGCTACTTGGGAGGCTAGGCAGAAGAATTGCTTGAACCCGGGAGACAGAGTTTGCAGTGAGCCAGGCTGCACTCCAGCCTGGCAACAGAGCAAGACTCCGTCTCAAAAAAAAAAAAAAAAAAAAAAAAAAAACACAAAAACAAAAAAAAAAAAAAAAAAAAACCCCTCAAAAAAAAAAAAAAAAAAAAAAAAAGCCAAATGATACTGAATTTCTGAGAATTGTGGACCACATAATTCTGACCAACATTCTCCCCGAAAAGAGCTACAAAAGGAGAGACACATACATATATATATGGGGTGTGTGTGTGTGTGCACGCTCACGTGTGTGCATGTGCATGCCGGTGAATTCTAGCAAAGAATTACAGGGCCAAGATCAGTAGAAGAAGGAAACCCAGAGAAGTGACCCAGCATTTTTTCCTTGGTGGATCTGCTGATTCTGGTAGAAGCATCTGAGAAGCTGTCAAAGCTGCTCCTGGCTCACAGGGATATGGAACAAATACTGGAGATCAGGCTGTGCCAGGGAAGGGCCCAGGTAAAGTCTCTGTGCTTAGGGATGGGATCCCCGGGAGGCAGGACAAGCTGAAATAGACCAGACCTTCGAAAGGACTGGAGTCCAGCTTTCTTTCTTTTTTTTTTTTAATTTTCCTTTTTTTGTCTGGAATATCTATTTGATTGGTATGTGGTTCGTGGAGTCCAGCTTTCAATCATCTAGTCCCTGACTGGACTAAGGTGATTTAGGACTCCTGGTGTTTCTAGCCTCCTGCCAGTAACAGTCATAAATCCATTCTGAAGGAATACAGTACCATCCTTAGCTTTGTCACCACTCTAGTTCCTTATACACAGTGTTCAGTACACAATCAACACGAACCAGGCAGAGAGAGCCAAACATTCGTGCCTCCTGATTTTAAACAATCAGAAATAGACGACACCACATATGAAAGATGCCCACCAAAAACTGAACCTGAATCCCAGCAGCTTACAGGAAACGCTGAGAAAACAGGAACAGGTGAAATGATACATGGATATCCAACCAGCCATACCCAGAAAGGAGAAACTGCAAAGGGCAAACGACTCTGTTTCTTCAACAAAAAAGTGGCAAGGGGAAATCATAGGAGACGGAGCTGTTCATATTATTTTTTGAGTTGAAGTCTTGCTGTGTCACTCAGGCTAGACTGCAATGGTGAGATCTTGGCTCACTTAAAGCTCCGCGTCCTGGGTTCAAGTGATTCTCCTGCCTCAGCCTCCCCAGCCCCTGGGACTACAGTCACACGCCACCACACCCGGCTAATTTTTGTATTCTTAGTAGAGTCGGAGTTTCACCATGTTGGCCAGACTGGTCTTGAACTCCTGATCTCAGTTGATCCACCTGCCTTGGCCTCCCAAAGTGCTGGGATTAGAGGCGTGAGCCATTGCATGTGGCCCAGTTATTTTTATCATTATTTTTGGGACAGGGTCTTACTCCGTTGCCCAGGCTAGATTGTGCACTGATACAATCTCCACTCACTGTAGCCTCAATCTCCGAGGCCCAAGCGATCCTCCCACCCCATCCTCCT